CCCTATAATTACTAAAAATGAACAGGCTCACCATATTTGTTTGTCAATGTGTGGAATCTGTAGGAAAGTATCTTTGTACCAAATCCCACGTATATTGGTCAAAATATGGCTAAGTAATTAACCCCTAACCCCTAAATTATACTTTTTTGTGAGCTCTGACCCCCTAAAAAGACTCAAAATGAGGAAATCTAACTTTTTTAAGTCAAAGTTTTGGGCGCGTGAAAATTTATATTTGTGTCAATTTTCATCTTTATTGCTATAAATATGATCGCACAGGAGCCCAAAATATAAATTTTTGAGTTGTTTGACCTTTCATCCCATAAGATACTTAAAAAGGACTACATCGAAAAAATGAAAAATCTGTCTGGGCATATTAGATCAAGGTATATTCCTACCAAGTTTCAAGTTAATACACCAAGAAATGAAAGAATGGTAATGTCGGATATACAATACTATTTAGTGTAAGAGTTATTATTTATTTCATTTAGTGATCTAATGTTAAATGATTATTTATTTTTTATAACAGAAGAGTTAAAAATCGTACGTTGAGTGTGTGATTCAATTGTTGTAGTATTGTTGACGCCAAATTACTCGAATCTTCGGTATTTTTTCGTTACCTTAAGTGAGTATTGTTACATTATACCGTCGCTCGCGTAGTTTATAGAAAGTTCGTGGCCTCAGTGATCAAAATAGAAATATATGCGACCAAACGAGCGCAAGTTAAGGACTAAAGAAGCAAAGATAAGCGAAGTAAAGCGTAGTTCAGTCAGAAAATTTGTTAGCAAAAGAAAATGTGTGAGTTATTAGCTGTAATGGGCGATGTTTTAAAGTGAGTTTCACAGTTTAATAAAGATAAAGAGAATAATTGTCTGGTCAAAGTGTGTTCTAAAGTAATTGAACCCGTCTGTATGGACTTGGACGAAAAGGAGACAATTATTTAAGGTTCAGGATACAACTGTAGTAACCCACGGGGTAACGTAAGTGACTTATTTACTGATAAGCGTAGAGAAAAATAATTCGTCTTGTCAATTGGACTCTAAAGTAATTGAATGAGCCTAAGTGGACTTTTGACAATAAAAGAGAACCATTTAGAGTTGGAGATACAACTGTGATATCTATAGTGTAAATAATTTTTGTACATAGTTTGACTTGTTTTGAATATATTATTTTAAAACAAGTGGAGTGTGTGCTGTCCGTTTATTGTCGAATTTATCGTCAAAAAGTCCCAGACACCTACTGTAGAAGAATCCTTAGCCCACATATACTTAAAACCCTGACAGGTAATTGACTGAAAAGTGTTTGGAAGGAGAAGAAAGAAAGAAGAAACATTAGAAAAACTGTACGTCTCTCTGTGGAAACATAACTACCTTATAATATGAGCAATTACATGGGGCTTTTGTATCAACTATGTGGAAGTTTAGGTTTAAATTTACATTTCTCGTGTTTAACAGTTTTTACTTGTTTGATCATTTGGACGACTGAAATACGCACCACATTTCTGTGTTTTTAAAACAAGCATTGTATTCACCGTAGAGCGATTTGTTGGTTGTTGCATTCCTGTTTTCAAATACTGTCTTGTATTCATATTGTATTCGACTTGGTTTATTATTATGTTGAATATTTCTGTTGTATTTATCGTGTGATCGACTTGACTGATCATTGTGTTAGTTTCTTCAAATATTGTTATTGTATTCACTGGGTGAGCGACTTGATTGGCCGTTGTTTAGGTCTCTTCAAGTATCTATATTGTATTTACGGGGCGAGCAACTTGATTGATCGTGGCATATGTGTGAGCAGCTTCATTCAATTGTCGTTGGTTTGGCTTCTTCATGTCTCTCTTTCGTATTTACTAGATAAGCGATTGAAGAGGACAAGGCTATACCAGCTCTCCGGATGATACTACGTTTTTTTTCTCATCTCTACCGTATTCACAAATTTCTATATTAATTCGTTTGGAGCGAGTGATGAATCACGTGCCTAAGTTTCAGAGTTCAATGGAATTTCAGACCCCCCCCCCCCCAAAAAAAAGCTGCTAGTCATCCATCGGAACTTGAAAGATTTGAAGACTTAGAAAAATGAGTATTTTGATTATTTGTTTGTGAACCTATCCAATCTCTGGTTAAAAAAGACATTTACACGTAGGTTGAACAGACAGTGCGCTAAATGCTATATTCCGTGCTAAAACACAATAAACAAACGATGTCATTAGAGGGTGAGATACCTCAATCACGGGTTCCTCTTAGAAGCCTGTAAGTGTATGGGCATGAATAATGAATAAAATCTCTAGCATTGCTATACAAATGGAAATACATCAGTAATAGATAGATAAAAAAGTTTTAGTTTATTGGGTATTTCCGGGAAAGCGCGAGACGCGCACGCTAATGAGCTTGTACACGGATGTGTGCGTGTGATCGGGAAGTTACCGTGCCGATAGCGAATTTATGTATTTTCAGAATACACTCTACAAAAGCTGAACACAAGGTGATATAAATGTTTAACATTATTATTTATGTTCTATTAGAATATAGAAAAAGTTTTGGTAAAATAAAATATTAACTAAACATTCGTCGATAGATTTCTGTCTAGTTTAAAACAGCTATCATCAGTCAGGAAAAAACGGCTGGAACCACGACATGATTTCATTTACACAATTTTAGTTAGGATAGAAAATTTCTTTAGGCACATTTCATGTGACGTTGGTAAATTTTGCCTTAACTATATGACTTTCAGTAAAGCAACATTCATAGATATTGTGCACCGTATTTTATGCTTTATGCTATGAGTTGTGTTTGTTTGTTATTAATTTCGCGCAAATCTACACGAGGGCTATGTGCGCTAGCCGTCCCTAATTTAGCAGTGTTAGACTAGAAGGAAGGCAGCTAGTCATCACCACCCACCGCCAACTCTTGGGCTACTGTTTTACCAACGAATAGTGGGATTGACCGTCACTGTATAACGCCCCCACGGCTGAAAAGGCGATCATGTTTGGTGTGACACGCACGACCCGCAGATTGCGAATTGAGCACCCTAACCACCTTGACATGCCTGTGAGTTGTGACGTCTTTATCTATCTACACCTTTTCCTATTGGTGGATAGCTGTCTTACAGTTTAGTAAATTAACAGAAATTATTAAACTAATATTAAAGGAAAAAATCTGGACCCAAATTAAGATAATAGACTTATCTTTGGTTATCGATCTACGCGTATTTCTCCATTTAGTTATCAGTAAATATAATTTGAATTTTAATTTAAAAAAAAAGACTTCCTCTTATAAACGTTAGATAACTTCTTTTTCTCTTCTGCTATTTAGACTTTCAAATTGCGAACTATCCCCCGTGTCTTATCTTACAACTATTTCACTCATTCCTGAAATTAGAACATTCAACGTACTTACTTGCATCTATGTATTTAGCAATTATAGCTAATAATACACAGTCATTTCATAAGAAACATGTGTGTGATAGTCAATATGTAATTTATTCAAATTCCTGCATGGAGCATGATTAACACACACTTCTTGAATACTTTACCTGAATGCCTTTTGACTAATATCACAAAATTATCATAACGCTTTTTTATTTTAACAATGTAAACAAGCACAGTAATTACGCTTACAACACAACACAAATCCTCCTCAACCACTGCCATTAAGCTATCCGCACGTCTTCTTTAAATTACCTAACCACACTAAATTATCCACATCTTCCTCAACTACTTCCATTAAGCTATCCTCACGTCTCCTTCAAATTACCTAACCACACTATATTATCCACATCCTCCTCAACCATTACCATTAAGCTATCAGCACGTCTCCTTTAAATTACCTAACCACACTAAATTATCCACATCCTCCTCAACCAATGCCATTAAGCTATCCTCACGTCTCCTTCAAATTACCTAACCACACTAAATTATCCACATCCTCCTCAACCAATGCCATTAAGCTATCCGCACGTCTTCTTTAAATTATCTAACCACACTAAATTATCCACATCTTCCTCAATCAGTGCAATTAAACTATCCACACGTTTCCTTTATCTAACCACACTTTGACTACTATCACACGACATAACCTTTTGGTCACCATCAGCCCACGCCCGAGATTTTAAACTTAACACCGAAAATGGTGTCACGTAAACACAAATTAAAGTTTCAAATCGAATTTGGTGTGATGTTAACACCGAAATAGGGTAACAGCTAAACACAAAGTTTAGAACCGAACTGGTTGTAATATTAACACCGAATCCGGTGTCACCTAAACACAAATGAATATAAATTGAACAGAAGTTTAAGTATAGCAACGAAAATGGGTGTTATGTAAACACATATAAATAGGTTTTACACTGAAATCTGATGTAAGAGAAACGCGTTTCAAATTTACCCAGAATTCGTATGTGAGCAAAAATATTTAAATTTAACTCGAAATATAACGTTAAGTTTGTTTGTAGTTATGCACAAAGCTACACAATGGGCTATCTGTGCTCTGCCCGCCACGGGTATCGAAACCCGGATTCTAGCGTTGTAAGTTCGCAGACATACCGCTGTGCCACTGGGGAGCATAACGTTAAGTAAACACAGTCCAAACTTTGATGTTAGATAAACACGAACTTAAATTCAACAACGAGCCAAAATTCAGACACACACACACATCTGTATTTTAGTTTTCTACATACACAGAATAAAATAATGATCAGAAAATGACTTTCTTTCCTTATTTACATTTATTTAGCTTTGCAGATTCATTATCAAACCATTAACGGCTCGTTTTAATATAGATGGATCTCCGCCTCTTAGTAAGAAAATAATATAAATATTTTAGCATATCTACGCGTGCATGCATAGAAAAATATGTCCAAACTATATGTATCCATGAATGCACGTGTGAATGTATACATGTTCGTGACCATCAATTATTGGGTATTGTGGATTTCAGCACGCAAATTGTATACATTAGCTTGATATTTTGGGAATTTAGAAAAATTAACAATCTTGGATAGCAATGAAGGCCGGAAACACAGAACATGTGGAAAACGCAGTTGGATTTGCTTTTAATGGTTTGTACGTTTTTGTTATAGTACTGTAGCTGGGATAGGGTTTAATAATGCTTTAAAGCGTATTTAAATGAGTTATATTGGCCTTTACTTATAGAGTAAAGATAGGATGAAATGTATCAAAATGAATGGACATTCTTGGGATTTTTAGACACTCATAAAATTAATTTTGTCAGCAAATTTCATTCACTGTCTGGTACACAATGTTTTATTGAAACTGCAGCAACACTATTATACTTGAACGACTTTTATGAAAGAAATTTGGTGATTAAAGTAGAAAAAAATAAAGACACGAGTTAAAAAATTTAGACATTTTGTAATTGAATTGAAAATAATGGTCTGTCTTTCTCTATCTTCGCAGTTATAGTTTAATGTTTGTCTTAAATGAGATATTATTATTCATCAAACCACTAGCTGGGGCAACCTATTGACGAATTAGCAATTTTCTTTCATGTTGTTTTAGCATGCTGTAAAATAATTTTTGGCTTCTCATAAACAAGGATAACCAGTCCTTTTTCCTTGATGGAAATGACTGTTCACTTCCATTTTATATTTTAAAACAAACAGTGGTTCATATTGATTAATAATAACGAAAGAATGATGAACCTCAACTATATAATTCGTTATAGTAATATTAACAATAATTTTCTACTGGTACTATATCAGCAAAGCAACCTGATTATTAGTATTTACCACAACCGCCAGATGGTGTAAGAATATATATATATATATTTCTTTAACAGGTCACTGTGTGATGGCAGTTAAAAATTATCATTAGTTTCTATTACTCCACGTCTCATTTCCAGTTTATTAACTCTATATAAAATAACCCATACCCTATAAAGCTTTTTTTCCTTCAGGATCTAACCAGAAGTGTGCCGGTTGTGATCAGGTTATCTTAGACCGGTTTATCTTGAAAGTGCTCGACAAGACTTGGCATGCCAAATGTCTCAGGTGTGCAGAATGTCAGACACCAATGACAACAAGATGTTTTTCTCGCCATGGGCAAGTGTTATGTAAGGATGACTTCTTTAGGTAAGCTTATTATACCATGGAAACTGCTATGCAAATATGCTTCATAAAATCTTTGTTCTTTCAGGGAGGGAAGCGCTAACGACCCCAAAATATTGTCTTTGCCTCAACTGAAGTGAACACGATGTTAGGTTAAACTCATATATATTTTTTTTGGTATAGCGTTAATACAAAATATTACTCTGGATTTGGTCAGATGGTTAAAGCCCATCTTAATAACCTTGAAAGGATGTTATTTCTTGTATACATATATATATTAAGTTCAAGCAACCAATGCATTTAAACTAAAATACTAGTAGGATGATTGTTGACATGTCTGTCAATGGCAAACAGTCTAAATGTTTGCTATTCTTGAGACTTGTACAAATATATTAAAATATAATATGATTATATTCATGCTACACGCAAGAAAAATTAACTAAACTACAACAGATGAGTTACGTAATGTTATGTAGCTACCAAGATTATCTGCCCTAATCTTGAACAATCGAAGAGAGAAATGGCAATCGGCAGCCAGCACGCACCGCCAATTCTTGGAATATTCTTTACTAACGAATTATGCGATTGGCTGTCATATCATAACCAACTCGCGGCTGAAAAAGCGAGTATGTTTTCTAAGTTTCGATCCCTATACCCGAAGATTGCGAGTCAAGCATGCTGACTGAAGGCCTTGTTAGGTAGATGCAGCTAATAATTTATATATAGAATAATTATGAACATAAACCACTTGATTAAAGAATTTAGAAAAGGACAGCTAGAGGCTTAGTTAACTTAAATATGAAGGATAAAGCTTTGACGTGATAATTTCTGTAAGAAGAAATAAAATACTTTAGTCTGTAGTTCCATCACAGTAAAAAGTTAAGCAGCTTTATGCAACATCATGTAGCATGTTTTGTGCAAAACATATCAAATTTCACTACAGTATAAAGTTGAGACTCTTGGTGCAATAGCATCAGAAACATGAAATACAAACTTTTTTGTTTGTTTGCTTTTAGAGCAAAGCCATATTGAGCTATCTGCCGTGTCCATCACGGAGAAGTGAACCCCGGATTTTAGCATTGTACTGAAGTCCGTGAACTTACCGCTGTTCCACTGAGGGCCACCTTCACAACAGTAAAAATCTAAGACACTTGGTGCAACAGCATCAGTAAGATGATATACAAATCTTTACCATAGTAAAAAGTTAAGACACTTGGTATAATGACATCAGAAAGATGGGATACAAAACTTTCCAAAAGTAGAAAGTTAAGACTAGCATATAATGTAATAGAACCTCACCACACTAAGTTAAGATTTTAGGAAGATAGAAATCAACAACTTGATCAACAACATCAACCATGATAGTGGTTCATAATAGGATCGCAAGGAATTGCACATAACCCTTATAGAACGTTCGGGCAAAAAGCACCTTACACAGAAAAGATTCAGTTCAAACAACACTTTGAAATCTTTGTTATTAACTGCTAAAACTGTTCACATATAAAAATGTAAAATGTACGTATTATAGACTTACAAAGAAAAGAAAATCCTCTATAAACGGCACTTTTATACTTCTTATTCTTCTCTTGCCAGCCTACAACAAAAATGGCTTGGTATATTACATCCAAACCTTTTGTAGAATACTAAATAAGGTACTGAGAAGGTCGTAGAGGTATTAAAAGTCGATTTGTTTCTTCTATAATTTAGTGTGGCTTAAATACATCATAACTCTAGCGTAAACGATGTTATCATTACCCCTTGGAGTTAGCTTTTTTACAAATATCTAAAGTACCTTTAAAAAGCGTACGTACAGGGTGACAGGGGAATTGACAGCCAATATCAGATGAACATTAGATAACTGTAACACGTAGATACTCAATGCTTTGTACACTATACAGTCGGTGTCTTTAGGGAGCAAATCCCTATATTATGCATGAAGGGAAGGAGTAAAAAAAATAATACACATAATATTAAATTTTATTACACACACATTAATATAATATATTTACCTTAAATGTCACGAAGGTTTATTTAAAAAAGGCAGTTTTCCTACTAATAACATTTCATACACTCTTAGTGTGGGTTGTGTCTTAGTCTAGACATATATCTGCCCCAAACTATAAATGTTCACAATATTCACAAACAATTCTCTATGACAATCTCCAGCTGCAGCTTAACATCTTACATCTCGAATTAATGTGATCAAATAGTCAAATACAGTAAATCATCATGAACCAGCTATGTTTATTATCCTTACAATGTATAAAGTTACTTACCATATCAAGTAATCCTTTGCCTATAGTTAAGCCTACAAATGCCAGCAAACAAGATAAATGAAAAATTGGGAAATTAAAAACCTGCAATTAAGGATCGTAAAAGAAGTAAAAAAAAACAACGCTGGAAGATTGTATACATTATTTACTGAAACTACAAATCCCTATTTTGAGTCCAACAAAAGTAATTCTAGGTAATAGCATGGAGCCAAAATATGGGTTTATAATTTGAGTAAATAATGTCTACAATATCTCCAGCCTTATTTCCTTATTTATTTACGATCCATATTTACAGGTTTTTAAATTTGTAATATTTTATTTATCGTGTTGATAGTGTATTAACCTGTACGTTGCTCAGGTAAAAAAACAGACTGGAATTAGATAACAATTAACTGAAACTATTTATTTTCTTGAACAGGCGATATGGAACAAAATGTGCCTCTTGTAGTCAGGGAATCTTCCCTTCTAATATTGTGAGGAGAGCCCAGAAAAACGTCTACCATCTTCACTGTTTCTGCTGTATTGTGTGTAAGGAGCTTCTTAATACCGGGGACTTGTTCTATCTCATGGAAGACGGGAAGTTGGTCTGCAAGAATGACTACGAAACCGTCAAAGTCCGCAGTAAGATGTAGATCAAACCATTATTTTTATTGACCTAAAAGTAAGGTAGAAATTTACAGTAGGATATCAACGATTTTTGGCAGGAGCAAAACGGTTTTTAACTTGAAAAATACACAAATTATTTAAACTATTTTTCTCGTAAGTCATTGTCAATGGAAATGTTGACCGGATTGTCAATGGGAGTGCTGACCAAAATGTGAATAGGAGTGCCGATCAGACTGCTAGTAGGAGTGCTGACCAAAATGTG